TGGTTCTGTGCAAGCATCCACTGAGGATATTTATTCTGCAGAGCAGTAGTTAGCAAATCCATTTCATTCATTTTCTCACATGCCTGTTACTTTTCTTCATAAGAGAACAAAAAATTCAAAGAGTCTGTAATTTGTACAGAGACAACTTATAACTCTTTCAATTTTTAGGCTGGAAAAAAAAATCTAGGATCACACTGCAACCTTAAACACCCTGTGAACAAGGAAGGAGATCTACAGAGCTCCCGCACTAACCCATGGAAATGCATTACACGATACAGAAGTAAATGGGAATCAAACAAATTAAAACAAAGAGAGAAGTCTCTGAAAGCCCCACGGAGGGAAGAAGATTCGGTTTCGTTTCACTTAGAGCACCAGCCCAGATGCACAGCCCTACCCACTGCCATCTCTGCTCAACACAACCGTTCGGAACATATGAACCTCCCCTGGAGCAGATGGATTTGCAGCTTTCTGCCACAGGGACCCACTACTCACTTAACAGCACCATTAACTGGCACCTTCGGTTACAGCAGTGCACTGGAAGAGCACACACCCTGAAGATGCCAGTTTCACCCCAAAAGCTCGGCCCCCTCGCACTCCCAGGAAACCTCCTTTCTGGTGCCCAGCCATTACCTGACCCCAAACGTAACGAGTGAGAAACATGAATCAGCCCCGCGGCCTCGCAGCTGCCCCCGGAGCGTCTCTTCGCTTGCTCTTCTACATACCGGGCTCCGCAGCCGGGCGAGCTGGGACCCCCCTTCGGACCTGGGGCCGACACCCGAGGCGGGGGTAGACCCGCGAGCCCCCGGGGCAGCGGAGCGCGGCGCAACCACCACGACGTGCCCTGCAGGACCCGCCGCAGCGGGAGCCCTTCTGCTGCCCCTGCGCCGCGCACCGGAGGAATATGCTTAAATTGCAGCATGGCGGTTTGACTTAGATAACTAATATAGCTTAGGAAAACTTCTTAATGCTAAGAAATCCTGGGAAAGTCTGTAGGATCTCTGTTGTTGGGAGTTAACATCCAGACAAATACCTGTTAAGCAGGAAACAGTTAAGCTTGACCAGGGGGATCAGGGCAGGGAAATGATCTAGAAGGACTTTTCAGTCTTCCATTACAATCATATTGAGGGTGGTGGACCTCGTAATTGCAAGGGTTTCATAAGAGGTTTTTATTTCTTATTTCCTTCCAATCTTAGTAATGACCGAGTTAATACCAGCACAGTTGCAGCTGCCAGGGCACAAAGCAAGCTATAATAAGTCAGAGACATAAAGTAGCAAGACCATTACAGCAATGCATAGGCACTATGGGGAAGACAGTAAAAGGATGGGCCTTCTGTTCAGGGAAAAGGAAAAAACTGTCTACCAGTGATACCAAGAAGTCACAAAATGTTTGTCACTTACTTGTGACTAGAACTAATGGGAAGTGGGTACAATGTCATTCTGAAGAATGAAAATATTAGGTCTCTAAGTCCTTAGTTGAATGCTTTCGGACCAGGTGGCCAGATGAAATTCATCCTATAATGGTTGGAAAACTAGCCAAAGCAATCTCAGAATAACTAGCACTTGTTTTTGAGAATCTGCAGAAAATGGAGAGGTTCAGAAGACTGGAAAAGGGCAAACATATTGACTTTTTTTTTAAAAAAAAAACAAGTATCTGAGGGATTACTGGCCAGTCAGCTCTACCAAAATAAAAAGCAAATAGACAACTGAGAATTATCAAAAAACAAAACAAAACAAGGAAAATAGGTAATAGATCTACTGGAAATACTGTTAGGAGAATCTGATGCTTAATAGAAAACCTTAATATAAGATTGGTTTTCAATGATACATTGTCTAACAGGAGCAATGTATCAATAAGAAGTTCTGCACAGATCTGTCCTCGGTGGTACTACTTAGTAGAGCTTTTTTTTTTTCAGTGATTTTTACAGTGGAGTAGAAAGTGTTTCTATTAAATTTTCAGTTAAGACGAGCCTGTGAAGGGCTGCATTGAATTTTGAAAGCAAAATTGTTATTCAGCGGACTTCATAAGTGGGATACATGGCCTGAAAGAGTAGAACACAGTTTAATGAGGCAAATGTAAAGGTCTACAATTGGAAAAGGAAAATGAGTTTGCAGAATGGGGAAATGGCTGGGCAGAGGCCTTCATCCTACATGAGTAACAGGGAAATGGCTAGCCAGTGACCTCCATTCTATCAGTAGGCTCTAGCAGGCCTAGGGATTTCATGAGGGTACCAGCTACCTTCAGACTGACAATGGTGGAGGGATTAAGGACCCAGAATAGCCTTTGAAGTTTGAAGCCTGTTTTTCTCTCCTCTCCAAGAGTTACTGAGGTTGTTTGATATTTGAGTTTTCCCTGCCAAAATAATTTCACCTTGCATGCAAGTACTCTGCTACTCTGCTGACTTTATAGAATCACAGAATAGTTCGAGTTTGAAAGAACTTCTGTAAATCATCTGGTCCAATCCCCGTGCTTGTGGAGAGTCAGCTAGAGTAGGTTTCTTAGCACAGAAAGGGATAAATTAATATCTGACTTTTGCTCCTCGTTCTTTTGCTCTGGTATTAAGACCCATAAAGCCTCACCCTGCAAAGTCTCTCCCCTATTCTTTCTGGTGGGGGGACAGCCGCACCTTGCACTGTCGTTAGGACTATGGCTAAGTGTGGTGGAGACTCAAGCTGTGGAAGATGCTTCTTCAGGGCCTCCTGTAGACTATCTTCAGATTATTGCAAATGGTACCATCACATTTTCAGCAGATCAAAGATTGCTTAATGCTGGAACTGTTTAGTGTTGTGCAGAGTCATAGTGTTGCTCTGCAAGAGCCTTGGATTACCTGATAGGAGCCAAGATGCAGGTGGAAGGAAATGAGGCTGGGTGCATTCCCTGTGGTGCCTGTTCTTGCTCCCCAGACTGAGGAAGGGATGCTGCTGTGGGGCCATTCTCACATGGTATGTCTTTGAGTCTCCCTGTCCTAAACCAGTAAGACAAGCTGAACTGGTGCCATAAAAGGGAGCAAGATTACGGCACAAATATTAATGAGACAAAGTTGCTTCACCTGCAGTTATTAACTGCTTCCTATCTCGGTCCAGCCTCTGTCTGCTTTTGGACTTTGCCCATGCCTTATGATCTCACTGTCTACACTCTCCTTATCCATGTCTTTGTGCAGTCTACTGTTTTTCCTAGGGCCAGCACCATCTTCATCTGTTCTTCTCAAATAGAAGAACAGAATAGAATTAGCATTTTTTCATAGTTGGTGAGTCTTGTTTTTCATTCCTGGGGCTTCCTGGTGCAAGAGGTAGGTTGGACCTAGGTTGACTACAACTTGCAGGCAAGTAATGAGCACTATCCGAAGGCAGAAATCTAGAAGAATGAAATGTATTTCACATGCAGGCTAGGGGTATATGTGTAAGAGTGGTCATGTCAATGGCTTTTCAAATGTCGACATGTAAGGCGCTTCCACATTAGTGTCTGAATCAATATCAGAAATGCGCTTAAAGTGAATCTTCCAGTCATCCTCACTTGCTGTGTTTTGCTCCACACTGCAGGACGGTCTCAGGGTGTGCAAACTAGACTCCTCTCAGAGGAAACTAAGCTGACAGATGTGCCCAAAGAACATACCTAATGCACTGCAAGCACTAAGTGGTGCTTAGTCTACGGGGTCAAAGAAGAAAGAATCTCAAGTAAACCCCTCAAACGTTCAGTGTAGATCTTGAATCTCCAATCCCACCTGTTGTTGTTTGGTTTTTTGTTCCTTTTGAGCCATGTTACTTGCTAACATGGATCTGGCCATAGATGCCATGTGAATTTCAAAGTTGTGAGGGGAGCAGTCACTGCTAAGGAGGACAGTGTGTAAACCAGCACCAGACATCAGCTTTTGGTCAGATGAACTGCATCTGTGAAGCATGGCAGGGAAGCTGCAGAGGAACATACTCCTTTCGAGAAGGAGGAGACAGGAGCTGATTATTTAAATTATTTTTTAAGCACCCTCATGTTACATGAGTCAGGGTACATCATGCAAACCCCTCTTTCTGCTTCTCCCTTTCTTTTTGAAGCTATGATTTTATCAGCTCTGATTTCCCAGGTGGTTTGTGCTTCCTTTGGAATTACTCATGTAGCAAGAGGACTGAAAACTTAAGGAGTTTACATCTATCATCTATTTAAAGCCATTGCATACTTTTCAGCTAAATGCTGACAGTTTTTACCCACTACCAGAAGCTGTAATATTTTAGTGGTCCAAGAGCAATACAGCCCATGGAACACATAAACATGTGCTGCACTACAGGAAACTCATGTCCTTCACATGCAGTTACAACAGCTCTGCACTCACACTAACAAGGTCACCTCCTGTAGAGCAAACTGTTGTCACAAAAAAAAAAAACTGCTTACCCACACCTGCAGCTCAACCAAGATCTGCGGATAGAGCACACAGCCATGTGTGGCTGCAACATATGCAAAGATTCGAAGGAGCCCGCACTACGCGGGGCCTGGCGGTGCCCAGCGGGATGCAGCACCCGCACCCCGCATCGCTACCACCCACGGCGCTGCCGGGCGCCGGGGCGCGGCCCCTTTAAGGCGCTCCGCCGCTGCCTGCCCCTTTAAGGCGCGGCCCCGCCC